TTTTTTTTTTTTCATGCAGATTAAGCAATCAGATGGCTCTAGAACTCGCCGCAGAGGCGGCAGCAGAGTTCTTGAACAAGGCAATAAAACCAGTGATGGTGGGGGGACCAAAACTAAGACCTGCACGGGCTTCCAGTTCCTTTCTCCAGCTGGCGGAGGCGAGCGGTTACCCCATCGCAGTCATGCCGTCGGTGAAAGGATTCTTTCCGGAGAACCACCCTCACTTCATCGGTACTTATTGGGGCACGGTGAGCACTCCCTTCTGCGCCGAGACCGTGGAATCCTCCGACGCTTACCTCATTGCCGGGCCCGTTTTCAGCGACTGTACTTCGGTTGGTTACTCCCTCTTGCTTAAGAAAGAGAGAACGATTACTGTGCAGCCCCACAGTGTGACGATTGGAAATGGTCCGATATTTGGCTGCGTTGAAATGAAGGACTTTTTGAAAGCATTGGCAAACCGTGTTAAACGCAATGCATGTGCTTATGAGAGTTACAAAAGGATACGTGTGACGCAGGAAGTTTCTGTTAAATGTGATCCCAAGGAGGAAATAAAGGTCAGCGTTCTTTTCAACAACATAGAGAAAATGTTGTCTGGTGAGACAACTTTGATTGCTGAGACTGGGGTTCCCTGGTTCAGCTGCCAACAGTTGAAATTACCACAAGGATGCGGGTAAGTAAAGCAGATGCATGCACGTGGAAGAGATAACTCCTAATTGTTTGGAGGCACATCGGTACAAAACGCTATTAATAGAAAATAGAAAGTGGACCCTATTATAGACCCCATGCTGCAGAACGTCTCACTTCTTATTAGTGTGGTGTAATTAAACACTACCGGTACTTCGTAGCATGTGTTTATTTTTAAGTATACACAGTAGATGCACGTGGACTAATATGTACTTGATGAGTATCAGATAACTCCTAATCCGGTGCTCATCATTAAGCACAATATTAGTTCTTAGTGTAATCTAATTATGGACCCATTTAGTTCGTTGATTCGAGTTTTTAATTTGAATTGAGATTTAACTTTATATGAGAGTTTTTTACAGTAACAAAAAAGTTAGATGTTACTGTTTCTGAGAGTTTTTTACTGTACAAAAACTCGAATTATAAATTTAAATTGGTGAAATGAACGGAATAGCTGCATCCCGTCCATAAATTCCAACTTAATTTGATGATCAAAGACAATATTCAAATGGGCATTTTCAGATGGCACGTAATAAATATAGTTATCAGGTACAGTAGTTTGAAATTTTGAGGTTTGAACACATATATATAACATGGAAGTTGTACTTGTGCAGGCTTGAACTTGAAATGCAATATGGATCAACCGGTTGGTCTGTGGGTGCGACTCTAGGGTATGCTCAGGCTGCGCCAAATAAGCGTGTGATTGCTTGTATAGGCGATGGGAGCTTCCAGGTATAAAACACTTGTTGGTATTATTACTATTGCCACTACCACTATTATTATTGTTGTTATATATATATATATATATATATATATCATGCACAATTAGTTGCCGAGATATCATTTTGTTATTATCATTCCCTTTAATATGAATAAACTAACAAACAAGGCAGTTCATGTTCTCTCTTTCTTTTTCTTTTTTTTTTCCCATTTTATAGAATGAAAGAAGGAATCCATTACAACAAAATCATTTGTGTGAAGGAACTTCTAATTGAAAGCAATAATGATTAGTTTGTGGAATGAATTATTGCCTTACCTGCATATTTCCAACTCATTTGATCCATTAACTCGTGAGTTTGAGTTGATGAAAATCAAAAGATGGGCTATGGGCCAGTTTAGCATTGTTTTGTTGTTGTTGTACTGTTTGTAGTAAGTTGTTGTGACCATAAATGTATAATGGTTTCGGCTAAGTACCTATCAGATCAGTGCAAATTATGGTAACATGACCATAATTTACGGCAACAAATAAAGTTGATTTTGTTACGTAACATTAATAATAACACGAGATTATAGTAATTGTAATATGAGAATAAATTATAACAATTTCATTATGAAGTTTTATTTGTGCTCAACGAGATTTGATGAAAATTAAAGGAAAACATTACAAATGAGAACTGTTACTAAACGCAAGTTAATTAATGTTTTAATTTTCGATGTAACGCTCATAACAATGACCTCACCGTAATAGTAAGTAAGATGGACCATATATATATACAATCCTTTGTTATATAAATGTTAACAAATGGACCCATATAATTGGTAATTCAACCATAATTTTTGCTTATTTCTATTAAATTTGCGTAGCATATTTTAGAAAGAAAATCATAATTTCATTTTACCTTCATGTGACATATACATGCATATGTTAACGTTGGCGTCCATTAATAAATTGGTCAAATTTTCTTGATAGATGACCGCTCAAGAGTTGTCAACTATGCTGCGTTGTGGGCAAACGAGCATTATATTTCTGATTAACAACGGGGGATACAGTATAGAAGCTGCCATACATGATGGTCCTTATAATGTGATCAAAAACTGGAATTACACCGGTTTGGTTGACGCAATTCACAATGGTGAAGGAAAATGCTGGACGACTAAGGTAAACTATATACATAAATATTTGTCTCTAGTAATTATGTATATTAGCAGTAATAATACAACTATATATAATAATTAGGGTTTTTTTTTTTCCATTGAGAGACTTGTAAATGTACTCTTTTGATGCTATTATTTGGAATTATATCCTGAGGATAGATAATAAAGTAATAGAGAAAAATTATTGAATACAACATGAGAAATGACACACACACATATAATCGTAGTAGTAGATACCAACATAGTAGTACAAGAAGAGAGGAGGCAAGGGGCGGAGCCACACCTTCTCGAGGTATAGGCGGCCGTCACTTGAAATTTTTTTTCTTTTAATTTCATAAGTACATTTTGTTAAAATTTGTGATTTATCCTCACTAAAAATCTGAAATTATATACGAAAATTATATATCGTCCCTCCTCGCATAATTTTCTGACTCCAGGGCTCCGCCCTTAAGAGAAGTAATAGCGACAGTAACAATGGTAAAAGAAGAATGAGAAAGGGAAGAAGAAGAGAGGATTCAATATAATAATCTGATTTCAGTAATTTTTTTGGCAATAGGTCACATGTGAGGAGGAACTTGTGGCAGCGATTGTAAGAGCAACAAGTGAAAAGAGGGACTGCTTGTGCTTTATAGAGGTGATTGTACACAAGCACGATACTAGCAAAGAGTTGCTCGAGTTGTGTTCAAGGATCTCTGCCGCCAGTATTCGCCCACCCAACCATATCTAGAGAATATAATTGTCCCTTTTTTTTCCAATACAGAAAGTGGGACAACACAAATAAAATGCGGTGTTTTACGCATTTGCCCCTATACTTGTATGGTTTAGTAATTTGCCATCCGAACTTTTTATATCAGTAAGTTGGCCTTTCAATTAGTAAAATTGTTATAATATGACCCATTTTAAAGATGACTGTGTTAAATTAGTGTCCAAAAACACGTTCGATGAAAAACTCCAACATCCTAATTCAAATGTAACACAAATCTTTTAATTTTTCAACTTTTAATCCCTTAAATATAATAAATACTTTGAGCAAATTTAATAAAATGGGGCACAATATTGCAATAATTTTACAAGTTCGGAAAGTTAATTGTCAAAATTTGAAAGTTTACCCAATAAAATTCTGCAAGATTCTTCAAAGTTTACCACATATAATAATATTGGTACCCCTAACATTTTGCCAACATTTTATAATTCAATGCAAATGAGTATATCCCTAATTGATATGTTATTTTCATTTTTTTAATAAATGATGTTATTTAAAAAAAAATGCTATATCTACTCTTTGTTATAATAATTAAGATTTGAAACTTGTTATAAGAGAACTTTGAAATTGTAAAGTAATTGGAAAGTGCGAATGATGTGATGATTAAATGAAATAGTAAATATATCGATCATGTTAAAATTTGGCATATGCTATATTTGATGCTAAATTTGTTATTAAGAGTCCATTTGGTAGGAGGGATGTAAAGTAAAAAGGGTGGAGAGAGTTGCAGGGATGAAGAAAATGAAGAGTGGAGAGGATTACAATAATTTTTTATATTGTTTGGTAGGAGAGAGTGAAAGTTGAAATGATACATGATAGTTATTTGTTTAATAACTATATCGTCCATTTTACTATTTGTTAATAATTTCTTTTGAAGGGTAAAAAAGTCATTTTCATTTAAATTTTAGTTGATTGGTTGGATCTTTTTATCAATGAAATGATATGAAATGGTGGACGGGAGGGAGACACTCTTT